GACTTCACACCTTTCCTGGATACTTTGGTGGGAGGAAAAGTGCAAAGCTACGTCTGTCTCCCTACCCGAAGACTGGCAGGGCGGCTGCTGCCTGGCCCTGAATCTTGGATATACTGCTTGATCTCCACCCTCTCTGGACACCCCGCAGCTGACTGAGTTTGAGTAGTAGCCTCCTCCCATGAAATGCTGTGGTTTTTATGAAGTAATAGGTGATTTTTTTTTTTTTTTTTTAAGTTCTTCCCTTTGGTTGCTTTCAAGCCTTGGGGATTGCTGAGCTCAATGGATTGTTATTGGAATGCAAAAGCCTTTTTGTGCCAAATCATACACCCAAAATCACTGCAGATTTATTTTTTTTCTTGAAAAGACTAGTTTTTGCTAGTTGCTTGGTAACCAGAGGATAGAAAGACTTAACTCATTCAACACACAGAGCTTCTAGTCTGAACTAGATTCAGCTTTCACATAATGATACACAACTAAAGGTGGCTTGTGCTGAGGGCTTGTGCTGTGTGTTCTAACTTGTGCATGATTTGTGCGTGAACGGTATTGTTTAGTGCATAAAAATAAGCGAATTGCTAGGACTGAAAGGAAAACCTCTTAACTTTTTGAGGTTTTATGCAAAAAATGTGTTGGAAAGGGCATTTGATTGATTGCTCATCTGTGCTTTCTTCAAGAATGACGACTGCTCCATCCTGACAGTTTTATAAGGCCAAACCTCACAACTCCAAATAGGCCTGAAATCCTCAGGGAGGGAAAGAGGAATGAATGATGGAGCATTCACTTTAGAAGCCCCAGGTGTCTCTGGGCTGGGCTCTTGTCCTTTGCACCTCCATTTGTATACCCATAAGTGGGAGTTTCATACATTGCCGGCACGTTGCTGAACTGCCCCAAGACACAAATGAGGTGATGCACAGGAGGATACTCTTGTCAGGTGTTGAAGTACTGGATGATAGAAGGAGATCTGTCTGTATCCTGATGCAGGCCAACCACTCAGAAAGATTGGGGTCTTCAGTTGGGACATTGCCAGTAGGGTAGAGGGAGGTGCAGAGAAATGGATTAGAAATCTGCCCTTGGGTATGTTCTTGGATCCTCTAGCATCTGATGGCAAACACTTGTGAATCATGTGTTTCACCATAAGTCTGTTAGCTTCTTACTATGAGGAAGGAGCAGATTATTCAAGACAGGCTCTTTTATCCAGGCAAACTCTTCCCTCTTCTTTTATGCTGACTTATCTCTGGACTTAGTTTTTGTAGCAAAACAGAGAGTACTGGTATTTTATGCTTTGAGATATTATACTTCAGAAATATTTTGTTTCTGCTTCCTTACGCTATAGAGAGACCAGAATAAGAATCTCTGCCTTTGACTGAAGCCAGTGTAATCTCAAGAAGAAATGAAGCTCACAGGTGATTAAACAGCATGAGGAAATTATCATATAACATCATTACTATCTCTAGTCTGTCACTTTCATGGCATTTTGATGACTGACTTGAGCCTACCTATGGCAAGCAAGCCATGGTCTTTTCAGTCATCTCATATACGTGTGACAGCTGGACAATGAAAAAGGAAGATGGAAGATTTGCACGGTGGCATTAGTAAAGAGTGTTGGATATCCCATGAACTTCCAGAAGAGCAAACAGTGCAGTCTTATAAATATGCAATCAGAGTGCTTCTCAACAAGAATGGCAAGACTTGATCTTATTTTGGACAGGTCATCAGGAAAGATCAATTACTAGAAGTCACCCTGTTTGGTAAAGTAGAGGGTCAACAAAAATGAGGGAAACCTTCCATGAAATGGGTTGACCTTGTGGCTGCAATAATGGGCTCAAACATACCCAAGATTGTGTGGGGCCAGGCAGTGTTTCATTCTGTTATTCATAATGTTGCCATGTGTTGGAGCAGATTGGATCACAACTAACAACAGATCCCTACGTTTTCTATCTCCACCCCACTTCCAGTATATTTCTTTATGACAAGACATCTGTACTTCTCTTTGAGACACTCAGCTTGGATTCAGTTGTCTATAGTGTCTTCATGGCTACAGGCTGAAGGTCCTTATTATGCAAGGTCTTAATGACTGTAAATAACATCAATAGAAGTAGTCTTCTAAATTTAAGAAAGTTACTAAGCTTTGGCTTGAAGCACTAATTGTTGCTGCTTCAAGTGATTTTGATGTTTAAATTCTGGTGATTGACCTTGGATTTCTGAAGCCCTAAAAAGGAGCCTGTCTTTTATCTTTCTCCTTGACCACCATCATTGTGATCACTGAAACCACAAAACACATGGAAACAGATACTTAGAACTATCCAAAGATACACTCAATAAGCAAATAAGGCATGGGGTTTACTTGCATGCACTTATCTGTAGCGAACAATTTCATATATCATCATGGTGAAACCCATTTGAAATTATTCACTATGGTGTTGTGAAGTGCCACTGAGCTGGTTCCGACTCGTAGAAATCCAGTATAGGGTTTCTAGGAGCAGCTGGTGGATTTGAACTGTGTTAGTGAATACTCACCAGTAAGATTGTACTTACATTGTTTGTTAGGTAATTCACCCCTGATTTTACTCACATATTTTCAAAGGCTTCCACTTTCTGATTATGGCCTATTAGACAATATATGAAGCTAGTACTAGTTTATAGCCATGTTTGGTATTATAAGTAAACTTTAGTTGTTGATTTAATTATGAGTATACAAAAAAGAGTGTAAGACAAGTCTCTTCTTAAATATGTTTTAATGGGCTGAAACATAACAACTGTGAGGATGGTACAGTACTAGGCAGTGTTTCATTCTGTTGTGCACAGGGTTGCTATGAGTTGGAACTGACTCAGTGGCATCCAACATCAACAACAGCCAAATGCTTAGGAATTAAAACAACATAACTGAAAACGGGCTTAAAGCTCTGTGTTTTACATCTAAACTCGTTTATTGTTCTTGTTATAGTTTAATGGAACCTTTGCCAGACATACTGCTCAGTTTACCTGCTGCACATAGATGTCTGTGTTTACATAGGAGTGGTATGGAAGCAGCTTCAGAAATAGAAAGAATTCATACAGTTGTGGATAAATGTGGGCTAAAGACACGATTGTATTGCTGTAAAATGGATATAATGTCAACAAAGGAGTCATGGTGTGGTGCTGTAGGATAAAGCACTGGACCACAAGGTCAGCTTGAACCACAAGATCAGTGGTTCAAACCCACCAGCCACTTGTCAGAAACTTTATACAGGGTCTTTATGAATTGGAACCAACTTGACAGCACTTAACAACAGCCAGGGTTTTTGTGTTGTTTTCATGGAGCCCTTAAGAAATCCTCAAACATTACTCACAGGAGGGACTTGAAGATAAAACTGTATTTGTTCATCAGTCCAATAATTATGCATGAATGCCAACTATGTCTCACTCTGTAGCAGGTAGTGGGATGTGTCTTGCCCAGGTTCTCTTGACATTGCATCATTGCCCTAGGGTTCTCAAAGATACCCTATGTTTATGATAAATCCCTGTTTTCTGTAGTCTCTGAGGAGGGAGCAATTAAAAGCAGGATATGGACATTTTCCTGGGTGGTAAGAAGCCTTTCTTGCTGTTGCTTCTGTCTGCTTTACTCTTCACTTCATGAAGTTTTTCTCTAGGTGTTTGACAGAAAATGATCACTTTGTAGTTCCCAAGTTTATCTCTCTTCCAATTCCATTCATAGTCAGCATTTCAGTGGCTTAACTTGGATCCCAATTCTAAATTTCTGGGAGAAGAAGACTGGCTCAGTTAGGTAAAATATCAATGTCTGGTCCAGTCAAGTGTGGTAAGAGTGCAGTAGTTATGTGGTACCTAGTATTGGAGTGCTAACTGCCAAGTTGGTGGTTCAAACTCACCGGCTGCTCCTTGGAAAACCTATCCAGGGTTGCTATGAGTTGGAACCATCTTGATGGCATTTAATAACTTGACACTGGCTATAACAGTGGGCTGAAACATAGCCCCAATTGTGAGTATGGCACGGGACCAGGTAGTGTTTCATTCTCTTGTACACAGGATCACTATCAGTTGGGACTGACTCCATGGTACCTAACAACAGCTCCTGGCAGCCAAGGGTCCACTCCTGTGGTGAGAGACAGAGAGAAGGCAGTCATCATAGGGTGTCATATGAACAAGGCCCTTGACCTTGAAGATCTTATAGTGTCAAAGGAAAGCAAGCTATTCCACACATCATTTCAGGCTATCTGGGTTATATGGAAGTCATATCCATTCTTGAGCACAAGATCCTGGGAAGGATCCCTGATGAATCGTAGGGTGGTTTAGTCAAAGAGGTCAGAGAGACATGGATCCTTGGAGGGAGAGAGTGATGGGTAAGGAATGAATGTTCTAGACAGGGACAGAAGTACACTAGGAGAATAACAAAAACAAAAACCTCAGAGACAGCAAAAAGTGTAACCACTTAGAATGTGGAAGAAACACATCTTTAAAAAATTTCACAGTAATGACTTGACCATCTGGCCATTTTCTTTGACATAGACTAGAAGTTCTTTGAGAACAGGGATGGTCTTTTTCCATTGCGTTTGGAACTGGTTGGTGTATGGGAAGTTTTACATGGCAGGGTACCTTCAATTTCATCAGATACTTCTTCTTCTTGTTTTACTCCCAACCTATAGCTGCTCATTGGTGGAATCATATTAACATGTCTTGTAATACTTTCATCCTTCACTGGGAAGATGGATTGCCTACCTCTCTTATAGTGCATTTCCTCTCTCTCCAGGTTGGCAAAGAGGGATAAAAGGGAAAGAATAGTCAGTTTTGAAAGGATCATTACTTGTGTGCCAATTTTTCTTTTCTATGTAGGTATTTTATATCAACCACCCCCCACCACCACTACCAGCCAGTCCCTAAACAGATGTTTTATTGGTTACTTTTGGCTATGTTTTTGTTTTTAAAACTAAGAGACATTATTGAAAATGGAGACGAGTAGGGGGGGAAAAAAGCCCATAATTGATTCTAATATGTATTCAATTTGGCAGAACTTGAAAGAGACTTGCTGGGATAAAGCAGGACATTTCTTTGATCTCCCAGACTTCTTATCTTGGAAGGCAACAGGTGTCATAGCACGGTATGTTAATTACAAGTTGGATTTTATTTGCACTCATCTATTCTCAGTGTCTGTATATATATTGATTTCTTAACTCTCTTTGACTGGGCATATTGTTTGTACATCTGCATATGGTTTTGCATACTTGAAACATCTTGAATCCATCTTCCACCTCCACTTGCAAATACTCAAACACCATTGTTCTTATCAGGCCTGGAATGTGGGTATCCAAAGTAAAGGCCACTCATTAAAATTAGACACATTTGAAGGAGATGTAAATAATCCAGAGTGAAAAGTGATTGGGGAAAGAGAACTCTTTATGTGGTGCAGAAAAATGGGAAACAATTAGTTTTCACTCTTAAAGTTAAGATGGGAAATGCTGTTTCTCATGGAAGCTGATGTAACTGGATGGAGGTGTTGTGAATTTAGTTAGCCTTTTATGTAAATGCTCCTGATCTTCCCAGATTATAGAGGTATGTATGTTCAAATCATCAACTGTTTTTCAATAAATTATGAATGTTATAAATAAAGTATGTGCTACATTACTGAAACTCTTAAAATACTCATTAAGTGTGAAATTGCGACTGCTACAATTAGCAGAGTGGGCGTGTGTGTGTGTGTGTGTGTGAGTATAAAGATATACGTTGGAAGTGAAATCCTAAAATCTGGCAGGGCTCTTTTCATATTTATCTTAGGTTTCAGGGAATACACATGGTGGGGTTGTCTTTTAGAAAATGATTTAAAATTGGATTGAACTCATCTGTGAGGAAGAAGATCATTTCTCAGTTGACAGATAATCAGTGTGTCTATTTAGGGGAACAAGTGTTGTACCTTAAAGTCAGCTTATTCAGAGAGGGCTAACTTGTCCCCATTTTCCTTATTTAAACTTGAGCAAAGTGTAGGATAGAAGTATCATTTGCCCTGTGCTTTGCCTGTCTATCTCATTTTGTTAGGAGTCGATAAGAGTCTGATATTTCAGCAGCCTGAGCTGCTAGAAAGGAGATAGTGCTTCGTAGACACGTCATTCTTCATGTTGATTACTCCTCCTTGAAATGATCGTTAACCAAAAGTTTAGTGGTAGAAAGGATGTGTATGAAAATGGCCACAGGTGTCTCTTCACCCTTCTCTGGGGAGAAGACTCTAGAAGATTGGTCTGGATTTTACCCTGTTATTACCTGTGGTGAAGTCTTGGTGTGGCACTGTGGGCTAATGTTCTAGACTGCAAAGTTGGTTTACACTGCAAGATTTTTGGTTCAAACTGACCAGTCACTCCTTGGAAACCCTATACAGGGTCACTATGTGTCAGAACCAACTCGACAGCACTTAACAACAACAAGGGGAGGGTACACAGCATCTGGGGAAAGGTCTCATCTTGGGCATTCATCTTTTTGTGACATTAATTTGTCAAGTGCTTCTAGAAGGAATTTTATTTATTTTTTTAAGCCTTTGTGCAGTAGTGAAAGAAATGAAATTATTCCTTTAAACCTACCTGGTTTGATCATTTTAGCCAAATAGGCCATTTTAGTTAAAACAGTGTTGCGTTGTATTGATTGTGTGGAGCTCTGGTAGCGTAGTGGTTACGAATCGGGCTGTGAACCGCAAGGTCAGCAGTTCGAAACTACCAGCGGTTCTGCGGGAGAAAGAGGAGGCGTTCTGCTCCCGTAAAGATTTACAGCCTCGGAAACCCTGTGCAGGGTCGCTATGAGTCGGAACCGACTCCACGGCACTTAACAACAACAACAACAACACGAACCACAAGGTCTGCAGTTCAAGCCTATCAGCCACTCTGCGAGAGAAGGATGAGACTTTTTGCTTCCACAAAGGTTTAAAAAGCCTCAGAAACCCTATACAAGGTCATTAGGAGTTGGAACTCAATGACATTTAACAACTACAGTTGCCAATAGGCAACTCAGTAATGGAACTAAAATTGTAGGACGGACTTGCTTTCCTTCTAATTTTCTCCAGGTATTATTCAATTTGACACTTGGACTTCCTGTTGTTTCTGATGCCTCTGGATAAGGCGGTGTAGTAGTTAGAGCATTTGGATGCTGACTAAAGGGATGGCAGTTTGAACACATCAGGTGCTCTCTGGGAGAAACGTGTCAGTCTTCCTCTGCCCTACAGGTTCTCTATGAAGCAGAATATGGGTGAATCCATTTCCATGAGTCTGGGTGGTACACACTTTCATTTCCTGATGTCTGATGCCATATTTTAAATACCAAGGTATCTTGCCTTTTTGAAGCTAGCTCTGGCTCAGATTTAAATGCAATGACATAAATACATACTCTAGAGTTACAACATGACTTATAGACCTTGATTCTGCCACACACGATCTGTGTGACCTTGGGCATGTCCTTGCACTTCTTTGAGTTACACTCTTCCTATCTACCATGATACCTAATGTACATAGTTGTTAATGAGAATTATACAGTAAAACCTGCAAAAGCCGGAACCTGTGTAAGCTGAGAGCCAGCTTGTTGTTCTTGTTGTCAGGTGCCATTGAGTCGGAACCGACTCATAGTGACCCCATGCACAGCAGAACTAAACAATGTCCGATCCTGGGCCAACCTCACCACCACTGCCACACTTGAGTCCCTCAATGATGCCACCTGGCCAATCCATCTCGTTGGGGGTCTTCCTATTTTTCTCTGACCCTCCACCCTACCCAGCATGACATCCTTCTCCAGCGACTGTTCTCTCCAGACAATATGTCCAATGTATGAGAGACAAAGCTTAGCCATCCTGGCCTCCAAGGAGCACTCTGGCTGCACTTCTTCCAAAACAGATCTATTGGTTCTTTTCTGGCAGT